CTTTTTTTTCTTTTATTTTCCCTCAAAACAACGGATTTTGAGATTGATTTATTTTTGTTTTGTTTTTAACGAACAGGTCCCTGCCCGCTCTGCGCCGCCGACTGCCGCTACCTCCCCGTCAGCGACAAGGCCAGTCCCCGCCATCACAAACCTCCCTCCTTTTCCCTCAGCCATCATAAAACCTTCTCCTTCCTCCCCGCCCCCATTTTTGGGCCTTTTTCCCTCGTTTTTGTCGACATTTTGAGCCCTTTTTTACCTCACGACGCCCCCCGCCATTGGGAGCCCTTCTCCTTCCTCCCCGCCGCCATTTTGAGAGCCCTTCTCCCCTCAACTTTGTCGACATTTTGAGCCCTTTTACCTCATCTTCGCCTCATTAAACCCTTATTTTCCCTCATTTTGCTATTTTGAGCTCTTTTCCATCATCTTTGGTGACATCTTGAGCATTTTTACCTCAGTCCCTCTGTGTTAAACCCTTCTTTTTCCCCATTTTTGCCATTTTGAAGCCCTTTTCCCTCAGCCCTGCCGCCATTTTGAAGCCCTTTTCCCTCATCTTTGTCGCCTTTTTGAGCCATTTTCCCTCATCTTTGTCGACATTTTAAGCCATTTCCCTCATCTTCGCCTCATTAAACCCTTCTTTTCCCTCATTTTTCCCATTTTGAGCCCTTTTCCCTCCTTTTTGTCACCATTTCCAGCCCTTTTACCTCAGCCCTGCCTAATTAAACCCTTCTTTTTCCTCATTTTGGCCATTTTGAGGCCCTTTTACCTCATCCTCGTCACATTAAACCCTTCTTTTTCCTCATTTTTGCCATTTTGAACCCTTTTCCCTCCTCTTTGTCGACATTTTAAGCCCTTTTACCTCAGCCCTGCCTAATTAAACCCTTCTTTTTCCTCATTTTGGCCATTTTGAGGCCCTTTTTCCTCAGCCCCGCCGCCATTTTAAGCCCTTTTACCTCATCTTTGGTGACATTTTGAGCCCTTTTACCTCAGCATCACCATCTTAAACCCTTCTTTTCCCTCATTTTTGCCATTTTGTTCCCTTTCCCCTCATCTTTGTCGACATTTTGAGCCCTTTTACCTCAGCCCCACCATGTTAAACCCTTCTTTTTCCTCATTTTTTCCATTTTGAGGCCCTTTTACCTCATCTTTGTCGACATTTTAAGCCCTTTTCCCTCATCTTTGTCGCCACTTTGAGCCCTTTTACCTCACACCTTCCATGTTAAACCCTTCTTTTTCCTCATTTTTGCCATTTTGAGTCCTTTTATTTCATCTTTGTTGCCATTTTGAGCCCTTTTACCTCAGCTCTGCCGCCATTTTGAAGCCCTTTTACCTCATCTTTGTTGCCTTTTTGAGCCCTTTTCCCTCATCTTTGTCACCATTTTAAGCCCTTTTACCTCATCCCCTCCACAGTAAACCCTTCTTCTCCCTCATTTTTGCCATTTTGAGCCCTTTTCCCTCCTTTTTGTCACCATTTCCAGCCCTTTTACCTCAGCCCCGCCACATGAACTCCTCCTCCCTCAGCCCCGCCGCCATTTTGAAGCCCTTTTCCCTCATCTTTGTCGCCTTTTTGAGCCTTTTCCCTCATCTTTGTTGCCATTTTGAGCCCTCTTACCTCATCTTTGCCTCATTAAACCCTTCTTTTTCCTCACTTTTGCCATTTTGAAGCCCTTTTCCCTCATTTTTGTCACCATTTTAAGCCCTTTTACCTCAGCCCTGCCATGTTAAACCCTTCTTTTTCCTCATTTTTGCCATTTTGAGCCCTTTTACCTCAGCTCCGCCACCATTTTGAAGCCCTTTTCCCTCCTCTTTGTTGCCTTTTTGAGCCATTTTCCCTCCTCTTTATCGCCATTTTGAACCCTTTTCCCTCATCTTTGTCGAAATTTTATGCCCTTTTACCTCATCCCCACCACATTAAACCCTTCTTTTTCCTCATTTTTCCCATTTTGAGGCCCTTTTCCCTCACTTTTGTCGACATTTTAAGCCCTTTTACCTCAGCCCCGCCGCCATTTTGATCCTTCCCTCTCCTCACCAGATGCGGCCACAGGAGAAGCTCTTCTTCAAGAGCCCGGCGGCCATTGCCCTGCGGCGCCTGGCCCAGCTCTCCCAGGTGAGGAAGATGAAGATGAAGAAGAAGAAGGAGGGAAGGGCAGCCATTTTTACCTTTTTTCCCCTCCCTCAGGCCTGGCGGTTCCAGCGGGCGCAGGCGGAGCTGCTGCTGGCCCGCCACAGGGAGGCGGCGCGCAGGGCCCGGGCGGCGCTGGAGGAGATGCGGTGCCTGCTGGAGACGCGGCAAAGGTGAGGAAAGAGGAGAAAAACCACCGTTTTGGGGCTCTCTTTGGCCACCACCTTGGGGGGGCCGCCATCTTGGGAGGGGGGCTCTAGGGCCGCCATCTTGGGAGGGGGTCTCTATGGCCGCCATCTTGGGAGGGGAGCAGAAAGGCCGCCATCTTGGGAGGGGAGCAGAAGGGCCGCCATCTTGGGAGGGTCACCCCCCCAATGGCCGCCATCTTGGGAGGGTCACCCCCCCA